TTTAAAGTCTATTTTGTCTGACATAAGTATTGCTACCCCTGCTTTCTTTTCTTTGCCATTTGCATGCAGTATCTTTTTCCATCCATTTAATTTCAGTTCATCCATTTAATTTCACAACTGAAGTGTGTCTCTCATATGCAGCATATATATGGGTCTTGTTCTTTTATCCAATCGGCCACCGTATGCCTTTTGATTGGAGCAGTTAGTCCACTGACATTTAAAGTAGCTATTATATAAATATGTATTTATTGCTGTTTTCTTACTTTTCTTCTGAGTGTTTTAGCAGTTCTTATCTGTTCCTTTCTTCTTCTCTTGCCTTCTTCCTTTGTGTTTTGATGGCTCTCTTTCGTAATATGTTTGATTTCCTTTCTCTTGCTTATTTGTTTATTTGTTATAGGTTTCTCGTTTTTTATTACCTTGAGGTTCTTATATAATATTCTATGTATATAGCAATCTATATTTAGTTGCTAGTCTCTTTAATTAGGTCTGTTTCTAAAAGCTCTATTCTTTTACTCCACTCCTCCCACGTTTTATGTTTTTGAAATCATATCTAATGTCTTCTTTTGTGTGTATCTATCCATTGCCCTCTTATCATTGAAATAGGCAATTTTGGTACTTTTGTCTTTTAATCTTCATTTTATTTTCATACATTGTTGATCTGCTACCTTTACTGTATTTTTTCCTTTGCTAGTGCTTTTATTGCTTGTTTCTGTTTTTCAGTTTTGTTTTTTTTTTGGATAATTTTCTTATTCCTATTTGTTCTCTTTTCTTTGTTGCTTAAATAAGTCCCATCAGCATTTCTTTTAGAACTGGTTTCTTGGTGATCGACTCCTTTAATTTTTGCTTATCTGGAAAACTCTTTCTATCTCCTTCGATTCTGAATAATAACCTTGTCAGATAGAACGTTCTTGTTTCTAGGTTTTTCTTTTCAACAGTTTAAATATGTAGTGCCACTCTCTTCTAGCCTGTAGAATTTCAGCAGAGACGTCTACTGATAACCTTATGGACTTCCCTTTGTATGTCACTTCTTGCCTTTCTCTTGCCATTTTAGAATTCTCACTTTACCTTTAATTTTGGACATTTTAATTATAATGTGTCTTGCTGTCGACCTCTTTCGGTTCATCTTGTTTGGTGTGCTTTGTCTGCTTCCTGTACTTGGATGTCTATTTCCTTCCTCAGGTTAGGAAAGTTTTTACGTATTATTTCTTCAAATAGATTCTCTGCCCCTTTATCTCTCTCTTCTCCTTTTGGGACAACTATAATATGAATATTAGTGTGCTTGATATTGTCCCAGATTTCTCTTAGACTGTTCTCTTTATTTTTAATTTTTTTTCTTTTATCTGTTTTCCTTGGGAGATTTCCTCTAGTCTTTTGTCAAGCTCTGTGGTCCGTTCTTCCATTTATGCTGCTATTGAGTCCCTCTAGTGAATTTTTCATTTCTGGTCTTGTATTCTTCTTTTCTGATCCGTTTTTTTTTAAAAATGTTTTCTAGTTCCTTGTTGATGTTCTCATCTGTTTTCATCCAGTCTTCTCCCAATATCAGTGAGCATCCTTATGAGTTTTTGTTTGGACTCTGTCAGTTATATTGCTTATTTCTGTTTCATTTAGTTCTTTTCCTTGGGTTTTGTCTTGTTCCCTCACCTGGAACATACCCCTTTGCCTCCTCCTTGTGCCTCTTTCTCTGTGCTTATATCTCTGTATTAGGTGAGTCAGCTATGTCTCCTGATCTTGGAGAAGTGACCTTATGTAAGAGATGTCTTTTGAGGCCCAGCAGAGTGCTTCCTTCTTGTCACCAGTCCAGATGTTCTAGGGATGACCTCTCTGTTGGCTACATGTGTCCTTCTGCTGCAGCAGGGTTGCTCTTCTGCAGGTCCCTAGAGAGTCTAGGCTCTCCCTTCCTGGCTGGCTCTTTGTAAATCAAGTTTCGGTAATCCCAGCACCATTGGCTGCAAGGTCTAAAAGCACAGTCTTGTTGTAGTTTTTCTAGACACCCAGTGTGGCTAGTTGCTGGGCTCTGGAACTTACACTTACTGTAGGCCTCAGGCCTGTCAGCCTTGTTGTCACTGCTTTTAGCATTGCAGCTTAGTCGGGCTTGCCCCAGTCAAGGGAGCACCCAGTTGTTTCAGGATTTTGAGGGCGAGACTGATCCTGTTTGTGGCTGTGAAGCACAAGTCTTCTGCCACTGATAAGCCCCACCCCCCACAGGTCCACACACATCCTCAACACAGTCCTGGCCTATGCGTGCTTCCTGACCCCCTGGAGCATACCTAGTCGCCCCACTGCAGAGGCGCCCACAGTCTCCACCAGTGCCCCCCACAGTTCACCTGCTTCTCACACAGACCTTCCCCCACAGAGGCAGACACACTCACCTGTCTGTGGAGGATGAGGCACCCAGTCTATGGAGTCCAACAAGTAGCCTGAGTGCTTGCCATTGGGTGGAGCCAATCAATATGGCGGGTTGCCTTCCCTGGCTGAAGTGAATCAAATCTGTGCTCTACTGGATGTGGCAGAGCCCTGGGCTAACAGGCCAGGGGATGAACTCCAGTAGCATCTGCCAGCGTCCATGTCAGCACACCTCTACTTGGTCACAACAATGGTTGCTGCTAATGTCTCAGTCTCTGGAGAGGTCTCACCTCTCACCAAGGTTCACCCAGAGCGTACCACGTGAATTTTTTCACTGAAGGACTGTGCACCTTTCTTTCTGGTGATTTTAGGTTTCTCTCTGAGATGGGTGAATTTGTGCATGGGCCTTGTAAAGACCTGGCTTTTTTCGGCTTATTTCTGATAGCTGTTCTGTGGATATTCCCCGTTGTATTTAATGGCCTGCAAAGCCAGATATTATGACACTCAGTCAGTTGTGCTGAGTCTAAAGGATGCTTATAGCAGTAATGTTACCCCGCTAAGCTCCCCGCTTCTCCAGGGAAGGTTGCATACCTTAGGGTGGCTCCCGCCCAGCTGGCTGTGATGCTCCATGGCTTGCGAAGGTGGCTTTTCTTCTCTCCAGAAGGAATTTCTGCCTCTTCCACCTCAGTTAGTGCTGTCCTTTGTTGCGGGAGTTCCTTTTATCCAGTTTTAAGGTCTTTCTCAGGGGTAATTTTTTTGAGAATAGTTGTAATCTGGTTGTGTTCGTGGGCGGAGGTGAGTTCAGAGTCCTCCTGCGCTGCCATCTTGACGAGATCATCCTCCTGTTGTCCTAATTCAAACTTTTGTATTTTGTACATTTGACAAAACTGGGTGGCCAATGTTTGGAGTTTCCCTGAAGTTTGACAAATTTGTGGCTCTAAATTTGGGATGATTCTTAGAGATCGTGTATTTATTTTACAAATGAAGAAACAGATTTCAAGGGATGATGATGATATGATGATGATGATAGCAGTGATAGCACTAACACTTTTTAAGGCATACACTGTCCTGGCTGCTCTATGTATCACCTTATTTGATCCTTTCAATAACTTTATGAGGCAGACATTATTATTATCTCCATTTTACAGATGAGGAATCTGAGGCACGGAGAATTTCAGTCATTTGTCCAAGTCACACAGCTGGCAAGTGATAGAGCTGTAATTTGCATCCAGGCTGTCTGGATCTGTCAGAACCTTTGATCTCAGTTACCACACTGTAGCTTGTATGTGACTTGCCCCCAGCCACGAAACTGGGAGAAATTATCCAGGACCAGAATCCCCCTCTTTTGATGGCTGAACTACATCAGTGATTTATAAAATTCTTTTAGCTGTGGAACCCTTCCTTAAATGGATATATTACTAGATAATGTAGCTAAATAAGAAAGCAAAAACCCAGCTGCTGTGGTTGAAGTGGGGTAGGAGGGGCTCTAACCATGTGCTCCCTTTATTCATCCCTTCCTGTGGCTTCTGAGCAGCCCACATTTGGCATAATTTTAAAATCCCAGCTTTAGTTTTTGAATATGAGCTTCAGAGTGATCTCCTTTTGGCCACAATTAAAATCATAACGGGGAACAGATATCTCTGGTTAGGTCTGTCCCATTCTCTCTGATTCTGTACCCACTGGAAGCAAACTCTGAAGCTTTTGTAGCTGCATTATTTTAGGTCTGCAGGTTTGCTGGGGGTAATCAGAATCAGTTATATGTTGGAGAAAGGCCCTCCTGAGAGTCTGAAGAAGGCATCAACTCCCTTGCCCGCTGAAAATCTCTGGGCTGGAGATGGTATTCTAATCTGCACGTCTGGTGGGCAGTGAATTGCTGAGTTTCATTGCCTGTCTCTTTGCTTGGACATTGTATAGAGCCCCAAGGTCCTCACTTGGAGCATTACTTGTATTGTAACCACCTTATTTTGGCTCTCACTCACTAGAATATGTCCTAGTCTTCTTTCCATGTGTGCAGTGCTGAGCACTGTTTAGCAGTAGCTCAATAAATGTTAGTTGAACTTTTTGAATCACTCTTTTGGGTTCCAGGCTATAGACATAGATTAGAGGTCAAACAGATTGACTATGATTTGACCCCAGAATGTCTTCTATAATGGGGGCTTATTTTCATCTCTCTTCTAGTAGTGGAATAGAGCTGGTCTAGTTGTGAGTCTAGCAAAAAGAAATGACATCAATTTGAAGCTTATATCCCTTTTGAAATTTGTGGAAAACCCAAAGATTTCACTTTTAGATCTTTTTTTCTCCCTCAGATTAAACAATTTCTCCCTTTTTAAAGATAATTGGGGGAGAAAAGTAGTGTGGGGGTATTTAGGAAAAGCAGGCCTCCAGCCAGAAGAATCATTTCAAGGCTTCAAATTGATTCTTTGTTGGCTCACTAGTGGTCTAGTAGCCACCTGTACTTGTGATTTTCTTGTAGTTGAAGGGACTGTGACAGGAGAGGGAAGTATATGAGGCCTAGCAGCTTGGCCAGAATGTGGCAGGGGGAGGGCAGAGAGATGTAAAAAGGGAGATAAGAAATGAGAATCTGTCTAGGTCTGTGGTTCTGAATGTGGTCCCTGGACCAACAGCTTCAGCATCACCTGGAAACTTGTTAGAAATGCAAATTCTCAGCTTCCACCCCAGACCTGCTGAAATAGAAACTCTGTGGGTGGGGCACAGTAATACATGGTTTTAAAACCACTACTCTACTAACATTTTCTTGAATATTATCAATTGTTGCTAGCTTTTAGTTGATTCCTATAATACATTTTATGTGTCAGTGAGTAGGTCGGTATTAACGGAGGACTGTTGAGGAAACATAAAGAAATCCTGCATTTTAAAGGCATTTCTTAGAGTTAAATTACATGTGTTATTAGTGTCTATTGCTTTTGTTCAGATTAAGCTCTGAAACAAAATTAAGATTCTCGTCAGGCCTTGAGCTTATTAATAGCTGTTTAGTACTAGTGTAAAATGTCTGATATCTATAGAGCAAGTGCTTCAGAAAACACACACTTCTTAAGTGCTCCACTAGGGAAGCATCGTGAAATCCACAGGATGCTAAGATTTAACAAATGTCGTTTTGTTGCACTCTTCTCAGTGTAATAAGTGTGGTAGTTAAGAACGTTGGACTCCACAGTCTAAGGGAGCTTCCAGTGGTCAGATTTCAGGCCATGTGGACATTAAAAAGAATGAATGAAGTTGAATAAAGCATGGCGCAAATAAAAATCCATGAATCCATAGTGACGAGAGATAGACACAGAGAGAGAGAGAGAAACTCTTGGCACTGTTGGGAATGATTATTATGCCAATTCCTCATTCTAAAAATTGTAGATAAAGGAAAAGAATTAAGTATTTGCCCTGCCTTTTAATGAGAAACTGTAGTTCTTCTATGAGGGAAAGCTCTACTTTACAAAAGGATACTAGCAAATAAAATATAGCAGGAAACATAGAATATCAGCATTTTCAACCTACAGTGAGATATTTGATTCAAAAAAGAGCCATCAATGGAAGGCAAAACCATTACGTTAAAAGGATGTGGAGGAACAGAATAATCTTATGGAGAACACTCCACAAATCACTTGCAAAGGGGAAAGTGTACATTTACAGTGGTGGTCACCACCTTTACTAAGTGGTCAAACTTGGCATCACCAATGGTGGGATAGCCTGACTGCGTGAGCCTCTTGATGTTATGTAAAATGAAGTACACAGCATCACCAAGGAGTAGTTTTACCATAAATGTTTAACCTGAGTCTAATCAGGTTTATAGAAAACACAGGGGATAGAGAGAGAAATTATTTCACACTAGGGGGGGAAACAGATCCAAAATGTGGGACATTCTCAAGATAACTGGTGTATCATCTCTTCGAAAAGGCGGTGTCATGAAAATTAATTGCTGGTGGGCATTATTCTGGATTCCAAGAGACTGAAGAAACATGACCAAATGCAATGCATAAGTCTTGATTGGATCTGGCTTGGAAATAGTAACTTGCTATAAAAGGTATTTGAGTGCATATGTGGAAATTTGGATATGTTCTGGATATGAGATTACATTCAGAACTCATTGTTAATGTCTTAGGTCTGGTAATCGTATTTTGGTTATTTGAGAAGAATGCCTTTATTCTTAGGAGATACTTGTTAAGTTTTCGGCATGAAATTGTCATAATATCTGCTATTTACTTTCACATGGTTCCATAAGAAATAAGTGAGTATGTAGATTAAGGGAATTTAGCAACATGTTAACAATTTTGAATTTAAATAGTAGGCATATGAGTGTTTATTTTATATTTTCAATATGCTTGAAAATTTTCTCAAACAACAAAATGGGCTTCCTAGATTCAAATATTGACTGTGTCACTTACAAGTGATATGACTTTGGGTAAGTTTCTTGTTTAACATTTCTCAGGGTCCATATCTGTAAATTAGATGTAATAATAATAACCACAAAGTGTTGTTGTTGAGCTTATTAAGTTACATATGTATCATAAAAAACACATTGCTCTAATATGTAGCATATAAGTGCCCTACACAAACTAAATGCTCAATAAATATTATTTTTTGTTTGTGATGTTGTTTGTGTTGTTTGTGATGTTGGTGGTGACTGTAAGAGTCAATATCTTAGTTTAATGTTATTGATTCAGCATAGAGAACATTGTGGCATGTTCTTAAACTTTTCGATGGTAACTTGACTCTTGACTCATGAAAGCTATAGATTCCCAGAAAACTTTACGTGTAATTTCTGAGATTTCTAGCACATCCATGCATACCTGTTTGAGAATGCCTTTTCTAGAATTTCTTATTTGGGAACCTAGGTGGCATCTAAGAATACCTTCATTATACTTTGATTTGGAGAAAAATTCAGTGGATTTAAATAAAGGCTTGGAAAGAAGTGAATGAAATGTTGGTCTGAGAGAGTTTAGTTTTGTAACCAACATGTAGTCAGATGAATGTGTCCTCATTAGTTTGGTTCTCTTCAGAGGAGATATCTTAGAACACTGTGTATGTGTTGAGCCTATTACTGTTCAGAACATACTCTTAAGAACTCCCTTCAGAGCCTTAAAATGAATTAGTTTCTAGAAACATCTGAAGTTTTCTGTAGCTTATTCTGATGTTATCAAGTGAGTGATTAAAATGGATAATTCATTTTTGATCACAGAAGAGTGTGACAAGGAAGTGGTGGGATGTCTTTTGCCCCTCTTTGTGGCTTATGATGCTGTTGGAAATTTCAAAGGAAGAGTTTCAAAAGTAGTTTAATGTGCTCAAACTCACCAATCTCAAACTATTGGTAATACCGATCTCTCTTAGTTTACCCTTTTGGGTGTGTTGGATGTATTTTCTCTGGGACTGTACCTTTAGTCAGTGACCCTAAAGTTAAGTGTTTGAGCCTGTGGTCTTATGGACTTGATTCAGGTATTTTAACTCAAAAGCACAGTGGTAGCATTTCCAAAAATAGATAAGTGACAGTAAATCACTAATGGCTGGCCGTCTGCTGGCTGCCTGTCCCAGCTCAGGACTTCAGAGGTATAAAACTTCACTGATAGTTAGGCATAATGGCGAAGATTTTCTCAGAGCTGGTCCGTATGGTAGGGTGGAGGCTTGATTGTAGTGTTACTCTGTGTGTAGGCTGATAATGGAGGATGTTCCAAGTTGGGGCGGGATGGTGTCCAGGTAGAGGCCAGGCAGGCAAAGGGCTGCATTTGTTACCTTTGTCTCTCTCAGCAACTAGTGACTCTGGACTCTCTGTCTGGGGTAAGATGAGGTTGTGATTCAATGGTAAGTTGTAGGCCTGGAAGAGAGGCATTTTGAATAAATACTGTTGGATTTCAAATCTTTCTTTGGACCTTCAGGAGGTGGTCAGTAAATATCTTGTGGGTCAGTGAAAGAAGGAGTGTTAGATGAACGTGTTAAAGGTGAATAAAATCAGTAAATAAATAAAATCAGTTCCTCTGGTCACAGGACTAGTGGAGGGTCATTCATGCTGGAATGGAGAGTAGTGAGATTTGGGGGAGGGGATTGCATAGGGGCTTGTTCCTAGGGCAGAGTTCTTAAGAACAGGTGTGTACAAGAGATCAGAATTGAGGAAGGAGAAGATCGTAAATCTCATGAGGGCAGGAAACATGTCGATATAGTTTGCTGCTAAATACTTGATGTAGTGCCTAGCAGGTATGCAATATAATATTTCCTGAATGAGTGAGAGTATTGAGTAGATGAATAAAAGAGTGAATGGGGATGATGATGCAGGACAAATCAGCAGTCTGGGGAGTTTTTTGGCTGGCTACTTGTAGAGTAACAGGTGGAATGTTAATATTTTGGATTTCCTCAGAAGCTGGTTCCTAGATGTTTCATTTATCAGCAAGGGAACCTTCTGATGGCTTAGTTCAAATGATAATCAGTCTGTACAGCAGAACTGCAAAGTAAACACCTGTGTGTCCATTTTAGAGGTGAGGAAACTGAGATTCAGAGATTTGAAGTAAATTGCACACAGGTCCACAAACGGGAAGAACTTAAGATCTCAACATGGGTCTTTCAATTCTTGAATACAGTCTTCCTTTTTTACCTCAACAGTCTGTGCTAGAGACAGTTTGCTTTAGAAATGGTTATTAAATAGTATCTTTGTATCCTAATAGAGTGATTAGTTATTAAGCATGAAAAAATAAATAGTGAAAAATTCACATCTCGACTAATCGCTGTTACTCTACTTGCTCTGCTAGTCATCATTTGACTGATTGAATAATGAAGATGATAAAGCTGAATGAGTAGAACAATTTGTGATTTAAAAAAAACTGCACAAAACCCTCCATTCTGCTTAATGGACTGCAGTTACTAGAAAGAAATGGAAACCCCAGTTAATCTTAATGTAGGCTACTTATTTAGGAAGGGAGATATTTCGAATTAAATTAGCGTTTCCTTTGCATTGTATTGCTGGAGACAGTCTTCATTTTACCCACCCAGCCCTTAAATGACTATTGCTGTAAGGAAGCCAGTCTTACTGATAACTGAATTAAAGAAATTAAACAGATACACACAAACAAACCCAAAATATGTCTGAGAAGGATATAGTCTTTTGGCTTTCAGTCATTCAGTGAGGCATTTGGCGGAGATGGGTTCTACACATAAAACTGTCATGGTTTTCAGAAGTCATTCCAAGACAGCAGAGTGGAAACATGACAGACTCTGGAAAGAGACCCTTTCTCAGATGATGAGTAATATATATTTTATACTCATATTAATATTTCATTGGAGAGAAGGTCAAAATCTACATTTAAATGGAAATATTTAAAAAGCAGAAGCATAATATTTGACTAAGTGAAACACTCAGGGTTTTTCAAGAACACAGGCTGTACCCCTGGGACCTCAGCCTTCCAGATCTGTTTGTTAGAGCTTGCTGGTGTATCTGAATTGCTTTAGTCTTGTGGGGAGATCTTATAGATCTTAGTCCTGGTATTTGGAGATCTTAGTTTCTCCACTCCTCTTCCATTTGACCCTGAATTGTATTACATGTTACCTAACATCAGGCCATGCACATGGCCTCACTTGGTCCTGTAAAGTTATTTAAATCTCTAGAAACTCATTTTGCCGATCCTGTGAAATGGATATAATAGGATTGTGGAAATGGACGTAAATTGGGTCTTTTCATTTGTAAGTAATGGAAAACCCAACTAACAAAATGTCTCAGCAAAGAGTCAGGAATAGGGGGTCCCAGGGTTGATTCAGAGACTCAAAGATCTAAACTCTGTTCATCTTTCATTTTCCTCTTCCATTTATAGTGTGTTAGATTTTACCCTTTGGCTTGTGACCTTGTGGCTATAAGATGGCTGCCATAGTTCCAAGAATAATGTCTTCACAGCATTCAAAACCAGAAGGAATACTGCAGGAGCAAAAGAATCTTACTGGTACGTGTGCCTCTCTTATTAGGGAAGAATATTGTCCCCAGAAGTCTGCACAAAGACTTGCCTTTACTTCTCATTGACCAGATTTGGGTCACATTACCAGCACCCGACTCCTACATCAATTACTTGTGAGGAGAATATCAAGATGACCACGATTGGCTTAGAGCACTCATGCTTGATTCCCTGAGCTGGGCACATTGCTTCCCTCATGAACTCAGGGCTCTGTTACTAGCAAAAAAGAAGGGGGATTGCTTGCTGTTTGCCACACGGATACTCTTATATGAACTTCTGAATGTGAAGTAAAGGTGCACACAAGGCTGTTTACCCTGGTGTTTAGTGCTCCCTTGGTTTGTAAGTGGCCATAGTAACGTGAATCAGAAGGAATCTGGAAAAGGAAAGTTGATAATTTTGCCCTACTCCTAGAGAAATCACAGTAAGAAGGAATGTTTGCAAATGAGGGGAAGGTCCAGTTCTCTAAAGCTGTGATGGTGAACTAACACCACATCCAGTGGACCAGTGTTGAACGTGGACAGAACCGGAGGTGAGCTGAATTCATCCAGAGCTCTCCCACATTCTTTCTTCTGTATGCCGCGTTCTTCTCCATTTTCCACCATCCAATCACAGGCAGCTCCTGATGTAGTTGACGTAACTAATGGGATTTGGGTTGTCGGGGTTGTCGTTCTACTTTGACACTAACTGTGGACAGTTCGGTTCTGGGCAGGCACTTGAGATAAAAATAAATGACACACAATTCCTGTTTTTAAGAGGCCCATGGTGAGGAGCTTCGCTATTCTGGGTCTCAGTTGCTTCATGACAGAATGAGGGTTGAGACCAAATGACTGTTTTCTGTCCCTTCTCACTCTCAAGTTTTATGATTTCCTTCAGGTTTGTTTGGGATTAGTTTTTTTTTTTTGTCAGTGTCTTTTGTCAATATGCTTTGCATACGTTTTGCTTCCAGGCATACTGTTATTCACAAAGCTTGCTGCTGTCGGGTGTGGTCTGAGAGTGCAGAGAAAAAAGATAAGTTGACCACTCTATGATTATTCCAGACCGTGAGACTCTCTTAATGCAAACCAAGATCACATTAGCCTTTTTGGCAATGTCATTGCTCTGTGGCTTTTATTGGGTTCACAGTCAGCTGCAGTTTCTAAGGACAGTATTTGGAAGGTGGCTTTGCAGAGACTTGGGGCACTGAACTTCCCTTGTCACTTTCTTCCTTTTGTTTACTCCTTCTTCCTTGATTTTGTACCTGGCAGTGGGCCCAGAATCCATGATGTTGATAATAAATATTAACATCTTTTGATTTCTCACTATTTGCCAGGTACTATATTAAGCACTTTACAGGTATTGTTTTATTTAATCCCCACAGCTGCTTTCTGATCTAGGCTTTATTCCCATTTTACAGAAGAGGAAACAATATGGAGTGAGGCTAAGTAATTTGAGCAATATCATGTAGTTAGCTAGTGGTCGAGGTAGGACTCGAATCCAGGCAGTTAGGTGGCAGAGCTCAAGTTCTTAATCTTGCAATGAAACTTAAGGTATTTTCACATTTCTCTTACTCCCTCTAGTTCCCGCCCCCATCTCATACTTATATAGTTGCTTTGAAATACTATTACTTGTCTTATAATTCACATTGGTTTATTAGAATGTACTCTGTCGGGATGAAAAAGTGACAAAGTACTAGACCCTTAGAACAAGGTTTATTTGTTCATCTGTTTGTCTGTTCATTCTTTTTTGTTTTGAGGAAGATGAGCCCTGAGCTAACTATTGCCAAACCTCCTCATTTTGCTGAGGAAGTCTGGCCCTGAGCTAACATCCTTGCCCATCTTTCTCTACTTTATATGTGGGATGCCTACCGCAGCATGGCTTTTGCCAAGTGTTGCGATGTTTGCACCCGGGATCCAAACTGGCGAACCCCGGGCCACTGAGAAGCGGAACGTGCAAACTTAACCGCTGTGCCACTGGGCCAGCCCCATGTTCATTCATTCTTTAATTCGTGTTTAACTGAGTCCTGAGGTGTTAGACTGAGTATTGGAGGTCCAGAGAGTAACAAGACTTTGTGTTCTGCATTTGAGGAGTTCACAAATCAATGTGGTAAAAGCTGGGCCACCCCAGGTACCATCATTCCTTGTAAGTCATGGTGAAGACTGCCTTTTGCTGTAAATGTGATGAATTCAGAGCATAACATCTACTTTGCTCCACCATAGCGTCTAAAGGAGGACTTATCATTGAGCCTCAGCACCAATGCATCTCTGGGGGTCCATTTGACCTTCCTCATTCTGCCCCCCACCTTCACTGACCTATTTTCCCCCCTCCCCTTCAGACTGATTTGTTGTTCAAAAGGCTGATGCCTCTAGGAATGAGGATCTATGAGCTTCCTTTGATACAAGAGAATAAAAGACTAGAATCAAGCCTTTGCTCAGGTCATGCTTTGTGAGGGGGCGGGGGCCAGGGTAGAAAGCTAAGCAAAAGACACATGAGTGTGAGAGTAAGAAGGGACCCACAGATGAAGGATGAGGACTAAGAAAAGGAAGCTGGAAGGCTTTAAACTTGCAGAGGCCTGACCCAGCCTTTCATCTCGAGTGTCTGAAGACAGCTCTGCTCCAGTCCTCTTCCCACCCAACACTGTGTGATCTTCTTCCCAATTCCTTCCCTCAGTTTCCTCCAAGGACCTGCCTCCTACTACTAGATTTATTTTGAAGAGTAGTAGAGGGGGAGAGGGGAGGAAGATTCTGATTCCAGAGAGAGAAACTGAGGCACAGCTTAGAGAGACCAGCCATCCGTACCTTGCCGTACGAGTCTTGTCATAGATCCCATGGTTTACTGTAAGCCACAGGTGACCCTGATTCCCTTACCTGAGAATGGTAGCTCCCATCCAAGGGAAGCAGCTCCTTCTAACAGAAGGGAAGCCTACTGCAGTCTGTACTGCATTGCCCTTACCCATAACCCCATTAAGGGGTTGTAAATAGTACTAGAATGATGTCTCAGTCATTTGTTTTGATGTATCCAAGCTTTTAATAAATCAGCCACAGCTTGCTTAATAGGAATATGAGAGCAGAGTGTGTTACTGCCAGCAGCTGCTAGTAAATTATAAAGCATTCATCTGTTTTACAAGGGAATTAAATGTTTGTTCTGTTTTAAAGGCTTGTGACTAAACAAGGTGGGGAGGGGAGTGGTGCAGTGGCTTGCCTGATGCCCATGTCCTCCCAAGTGCTGTAGCAGCCCCAGGTACCTGGGGGAAACACCTGTAACCAGAACCATATGAATTACAATGCCCCCAGGTAAACCCTGTGATTATCAGTGGCTGCTCCATGTGCATCTCCAAAGCAATATTTATTGGATTACATTTTTCTTCCACTTCAAAGGATTCTATGAAATACAAGTCTCATTCTCCCCGCCCCCCCTTCCTTTTTTCTTAAGACTGTCTAGGGAAGGACATCACACCATATATCCAGCAATGACTGATGTTCAATTGTCTGCAAAATTGAGTTAGCCTAGTTTATCTGTTATGTTTACATTTGAAGTGTACTCCCCCACCTTTTCAACACCATTGGCTTTTATTTATTAAATAATTGTGAGAGGGAAGGCTTTCGGTAGAGATAAAATTGTGGGAGCTAGGTAACCAGGATTTAAGAACTGTCGGCTACTTATTTTGTGACCTTTGACAAGCTGTGTAAGCTATTTGAATGTGTTTCCTTCTTTTGTTATTTTTAAATCTTGAAATCATTACAGATTCACAGGAAGTTGCAGAGACAGTATAGAGAGATCCAGGGTATCCTTCATCCAGTACAACGTGTGTGTCTAGTTCTGTGTCCTTTTATGCACGTGTAGATTTGTGTAACCAACACTGCATTTGAGATACAGAACTAGTCTGTCATCACAAAGATTTCTCTAGTGGCACCCCTTGATAGAACCACCCATTCTCGCCTCCACCTTATCCCCTGGTAACTGCACATCTGCTTTCCATCTCCATAATTTTGGATTTCAAAAATGCTATCTCAATGAAATCCTATAATATATGACCTTTTGAGATTGTTTTTGCTTTCACTCAGCATAGTACCCTTGAGATCCATCCAAGCTGTTGCTTGTACCAATAGTACATTCCTTTTTATTGCTAAGTAGTAATCCATGGTATGGTTGTACCACAGTTTGTTTAATGATTCACTTGTGAGAGACGTTTTGGTTGTTTCCAGTTTTTGGCTGTTATGAATAAAGCTGCTAAGAACAGTTAATTACTGATTTCTGTGTGGACATAAGTTTTTGTTTCTCTGTGATAAATGCCCAGAATTGCTACTGCTGGGTCATATGGTAAGAATATGTTTAAGTTTTAAGAAATGCCCAACTTTTCCAGAGTGATTGTACCATTGTATATTTCCACCAGCAGTGTATGAGAGAATCAGTTTATCTTTACCAGGATTTGGTATTGTTACTGTTTTTTATTTAGCTGTTCTAATAGGAGTATAATGATATCTTGTCATGATTAATTTGTGTTTCCCAGTGCCTAGTGATGTTGAACATCTTTGTATGTGCTTATTTGTCATTTGTATATCCTCTTTGGTGAAACATCTATTCGTGTCTTTTGCCTTCATCTTTTGGGTTACGTATTTGTTTTTTACGGTTAAAGTTTTGAATGTTCTTTATGTATTCTAGATATGAGTACTGTGCCAGATTTGTGTTCACAAATATTTTCTCTTAATCTGAAACTTATCTTTTTATTCTCTTAACAGAGTCCTTTGCAGAGCAAAAGTTTTTAATATCGGTGAAATTAAATTTATTGACTTTCTTTTTTCATGGATTATACTTTTGATGTCGTGTCTAAGAACTCTTCACCAAATCCTAGGACCGGAAGATTTGCTCCTATGTGTTCTTGAACTTGTATAGTTGTAAATTTTATATTTAAATCTGTAATCCATTTTGAGTTCGGTTTTGTGTACAGTTGAGGTTTAGGTCATTTTATTTTATTTTTTTTTTGCCTATGAATATCCTATTACTCCAGCACTGTT